TCATCCTCATTATCATTATCTTCAGGAAGCTGTCCTTCGTCATCAACAAAATCCAAGCGAATGACATTTTGGTGAGGGGGAGGGGGAGAGCCCAGCCCTGCAGGGGTTTCATTAGGCGGGTGGTGAAACCCTGGAGGGGGTATGGGCAGATTGTGAGGAATACTCTTTTCTGGGGCTGGGCATCAAATCCCAGCGGGGGCAGATTAGGGTAAAGGGATAGATAGGGGAATGGAGAGAATGGACGAAGGAAGGGAGAGGGGGGATTTTTTCTGAATCATCTCATCATCAAAATCATCATCATCATCATCATCATCATCCATGTTATATCATGCTTTCTGGTGTGCTGTAATTCTCGGCTGTATCTGGCCTCCTTCCTTAATCAGGATATAGGATTTTAGAGATGGTCGAATCTGGACCGATATCTACAGAGTTGCTTTGTCTTTGCCCCTGGTTTGGCGATGCCAGAACGACGCTGGCCGGAGCTGGGGCGTTGCCCTGTAACCTGCAATTGGCAGGAGTGTGAGGCCTTGTAGAGAGATCTGGGGATTTGCCGAGGGAGGAAGGCAATCCAGTGGCAAACCGGGGGGCCTGCCTTGACAACCTATGGGGCCAGGGATAGTCTAGGTGGCGAGAACAGGTCTGACTCAGCTATGGTAGACATTGGTTAGGAGGGTATTGTCTCTGAGATGTAATGTCCTGGTGCAGGGAGGGCTGGGAGGGTTCGAAGATTAGGAGGCCAGAAGTGTTGTTATAACATAGTCTTCTATATTTTCTATATACTATTCATCATATTCATCATCATAATCATCATCATCATCATCACATCATTAGTATCATCATCTGATTATTGTTATATTAAGCTTTTTGGTGTTCTGAAATTTTGGCAGCATCTAGCATTCTTCCACATTCGGGATATAGGACTTCAGAGATKGTTGAACCTGGCCTGATATCTACTGAGTTGCTCTGTTCTGTGCCCTTGGTTTGCCGATGCCAGAACGACGCTGGCCGGAGCTGGGGCGTTGCCCTGTGACCTGTAAATGGCAGGACTCGCCACAGGAGTGTGAGGCCTTGTAGAGAGATCTAGGGTTTGCTGAGGGTGGAAGGCATTCCAGTGGTGAACCGGGGGGGGCTGCAAGGAGGCGAGAAGAGATCAGCTATGGTTGATGTTGGTTAGGTTGGTTTTGTCTCTGAGGTACAGTGTCCTGGTACAGGGAGGGCTAGGAGTTGTACTAGGATTAGGAGGCCAGAATAGCTGATATAGCATAATCTTCTATATTTTTTCATATTTTTTCATATATTTGA